TAATAATAATTGCTGCTTTTTTACTACATAATTTTCTTCCCAGTTCTTACAGCAGACCATGACAGTGAATTGAACTGTTTGATCAATAAATAAGGGAACTGGACAAGTGGAGGATGAAAGAGGTCTTTTTTTTAAGTCGTCTTACAGAAATAGAAAAAAACCATCAGATCAGACACCAAACTGGAAACCATCATCAACCTTTAGATTTCAGTTAAGTGCTCTTTGGTTGAAGCTAAAATACTTTTTTCTGTCTGTTAATCATGCCTTATCTTAGAGCCGACCAAAAGAAATGTATAAGCAGTGGAAAGAATGAGTGAAAAAGCAGCTGAGATATAAAGAAGCACTTTGAAAGACAAAAACAAAAAAGCTTTTATCTTCAGTATTTTTGATTGATTCATTAAATAAAATGTAATAATTTGTGCCTCACTTGTTAGTTTCCATCATGTATGATTAAAAACTCCTCCTCTTCTGATGTATATTTCTTCTTTCTCAATAAATCAGTGGAGAAAATAACCGAGGCCTGAACCCCGCTCCTCGACGTCCCCACATTACGCTCCATATGCCGCAGATTCCCACACACAGCGTTGTTTTTCCCCTCCTGCCCTGGGGTCTATAGCTTCCTACAGACCAGGAGTGAGTGGAGCCAAGCCCACACTGAAGGTCCCCGGGGGTCAAAGTCTGCACCCGAAGCCTCACCCTGGACTGAGAGCTCCCTCTCAGCGAGGACAAGACCAGGGTCACGGGTGCTGTGATTTACGGCCGGCCCTTTGTGTTGTGTGTTGCCGCGGCRCTGCTACATAAAAAGACGGCGGTGTCTGCTCTGTGTGGAGGCAATTATAGTAATGATAATGAATGTCCAGATTAAACCTCGGCCCACGAACCTCCTCGCTGCACTTTCAATGAGAGGAGATCAAGAATGCCACCTCCGAAACAAGACAGCGTCCCTCTGTCGTCTCATCCTGGCCGAACTCAGYTGATCCTCTTACCTGTTTCACTTAATCCTGTTGTCTCTAATCCCAGATTAGAAACAGTAGTTACACAATCTGATCGTGCAGAGATGTCAGGTGTGTCCCTTTTGTTTCACGCAGCATCACTTCTCTCTAATTTCTCGCTCCCCCTTATTTCATCTCTACCTGCCTTGTGTCTTTCATCTCTTAGTGCCTTCTTTAGACCCCTCTGCACTCTAAAAATGAAATGTTGGATTTACTTAACCATGTTATGTTACCTGGTTCCACTT